AATCTGCAAATGAAATGCTAAACCTGAGTGTTTGGATCAATTGCATTCTTTCTTTCGCCCTTAATTGGTTCAGGTAGAACTTGCGCAGGAAGTGCTTACGATTGGGTCTCATTTCTTCAATTCATTTCCCACGAGAGGAAAACTAGGCAATTACCAACACCGAAAATACTAACAGCTATAATTAGGCTAGTTACAGTGTTATATGCTAAATAGATAGAAAGGCTAGTATAGACAATTCACATTAAGGCAGTTATACGGTTAGGAAGGTGAGTGGTGGTTAGTCTATTAGAATATGTTAGTGAAGCTCAACAGTAGAGGATGAGCTATAAATACATATAGGTTGTAAAAGGCTGATTATATTAAATCAATAAACTTCTCTCTCTTCTTCTTAGTCTCAATTATCTACAAACATTGAAGTGTATTGTTCAGAGATTATTCTCCTCCTAATCTCTTAGATTCACTTCCAATTTCAACCTCCATTGTTAAAATACGCAACATTGGTGTCAGAGCTTGCAAACCTTGTCCATAAACCATGCCGGAAACAACAAGAAAAATTGAATTGTGACGGAATGTGGACGAAGTTAGGGAGCAGGTACGGGTACTGGGTGAACGCCATTACGATATGATCAATGAAATTCGACAGCTGGTGGCAGCGATGACGACTAATTTAGCTCCGGCGACCTTAACCATGCCAGTCGCACCAGCTCCAGTCGATGGTGGTGGATTACACACAACAGGCAACGAGTTTAATGGAGGTGATAGGTATGCTCGTATTGAATTCCCAAAATTTAATTGGGAGGATTTAAAAGGGTGGGTGTATAGATGTGAACAATTCTTTGAGTATGACAATACCTCTGAAGAATAGAAGGTTAAGCTTGCTTCTATCAATTTAGAAGGAAGGGCTTTACAGTGGCATCAATCGATGATGAAATCTAGAGTAGGAAGAGGGTTAGGGAGATTATGTGAGGTATTTGTATCTGAGATTTGGGCATAATTTGTATGAGGATCCCCTGTTTGAATTACTGTGATTAAAGCAAACTGGTGGGGTTCAAGAATTTTTAGATCAATTCGATGGACTGCTTAATCAAGTAGAGTTGTCGGAAGAGTATTCCATCAGTTGTTTCTTGAAAGGATTAAAACCACAAATTGAAGTTCAGGTGAGGATCTTAACCCCAAGAACATTGATGAAGGCCTATAGTTTGGCTAAACTAGCTAAACATTCTCTGCAACTACAGAGAAACCAGAATCATAAGGCCATGAGACCTTCTAAGCCTATACTCCCAACTCCTAACATTTCATGTAACCCAGGCTCGAGAAGCTACTCTCAGGGCCAATACTTGGTAGTGGGAAGGGGATAGATTTGAGCAAACCTCCTAATGCTTATGGATAACCAGCAAAGAAATCATCAAGGAGGCTTACAAGTGCGAAAATGGATGAGAAAAGGGCAAAGGGGCTATGCTTTTGGTGTGATGAAAAATACACACCTGGCCATGTATGCAAGAAACAAAAGCAACTGTTCAGTATAGAGGTAGAGGAAGGTGGTGATGAGGGGGAGATTGATGAGTATGTGGTGGAAGAGGAAGCTTGTGAGGATTCAAACCTTAGTCCTCAAATGTCAGTTCATGCTCTTGATGGAACTGTAGACTATAGAACTATGAGATTGAAAGGAGAGATAAGAGGAAAAATAGTCCATGTGTTGATAGATTCTAGTTCAACACATAATTTCATGGACATTGACATTGCAAAGAAACTCGGATGCAAACTGGACACTATTCCTACCTTCTCAGTGTCAGTAACTATTGGAAGTAAGGTGCACAGCTCTTTCATGTGTAAAGGAGTAGCATGGAGGATGCAAGGGGTGTTATTCAAGGCTGACATGTTAGTCATGCCACTAGGGGGTGCTGATGTGACATTGGGCATTCAATGACTCATTACTCTAGGGATATCAAGTAGAATTTTAGACAACTGAAGATGGAATTTCAAATAGGAGGCAAAAAGGATTCATTGAGAGGCAGTCAACCAGGCACATCCAGAGTAATTGGAGATCAGCAAATGGAGAAGCTACTGAATAAAACTGGGAGCTTGAGTATGATTCTAGTAGCAGATGCACAACCATTTGATAGAGGGGTAGCATGCTTCAGCTCTAACCAAGTGGAAGAAGTACCTGAGGAATTACACGCATTGCTGGACCAATATTCAGGGTTGTTTGCAACCCCTAAGAGCTTACCTTCTCATAGAGATCATGACCATAAGATCATTTTGAAGGAAGGAACACCACCAGTGAATGTGAGACCTTACACATATCCAGCAAATCAAAAGGATGAGATTGAAAGGATGATTCAAAAAATGCTAGATGCAGGAATTGTTCGACCGAGTGTAAGTCCATATTCTTCCCCTATAGTAACAGTTAAAAAGAAAGATGGTACTTGGAGGCTATGCATAGACTATCGACAACTAAACAATCATACAGTAAAAGATAAATTTCCTATACCTGTGATTGAGGAGCTACTAGATGAACTGGGAGGGGCTAAATATTTTTCAAAATTGGACCTAAGATCTAGTTACCATCAAATTAGTATTCATGAAAAAGATATAGAAAATACTGCATTTAGATCCCATCATGGTCACTATGAATTTGTGGTCATGCCATTTGGGTTGACCAATGCCCCATCCACATTTCAGAGTTTAATGAACAAAATATTTCAACCATACTTAAGAAGGTTTATTTTGGTGTTCTTTGATGATATACTAGTATACAGCTCCTCATGGTCAGACCACTTAGTACACTTACAGAAAGCTTTTGATGTGTTGAAAGAAAACTCTCTGTTTGTTAAGATGAGAAAATTTGGCCAGTCTGAGGTAGAATACTTAGGCCATATCATCACAAAAGATGGGGTAACAGCTGAACCAGGGAAGATTAAAGTCATGGTAAAATGGCCAGCACCAAGAACAGTGAAAGAATTAAGGGGATTCTTGGGACTGACAGGGTACTATAGAAGATTTATTAAAGGGTATGGGGTGTTGGCAAGGCCCTTGTATGAAATTATTGAGGAAGGATAAATTTGAATGGAAGGATAAGGCAAATACAACTTTGGAGCAACTCAAAGTAGCAATGAGTACAACTCCTATTCTTGCGGTCCCTGATTTTTTCTTGGAATTTGTTATTGAAACTGATGCTTGTGTGGTGGGTATTGGAGTTGTTCTGATGCAGGGAAGCCACCCCTTAGCATATATGAGTAATGCTTTGAGTGACAAACATCAACAACTATCCACATATGAGAGGGAAATGATGGCCATCGAAGAATGACTGCGTCATTATTTCTTCTTCTAAAGTACAATATGCCTTAGAAACATCACAGAGATTGGATACCTTGCGAATCACCGCTTTCTGAGCTTCAGCCTGAAAGAAGTGTTAGTAATTTAGTTAGATAGCTAGTGAAATATGTTACTTCCTATCTTAGAAATAATGCAACTGCTACTATTGAGAAAGTCATACATTTTTCCTCTAATTACTACAATTTTTTTTTCAAAATGTCTTCATCATATTTCATAATATAGAAAATAGTAACTTGACTAACTTTACTTCCAAAAACGAAAAAATTAAGAAATCCAGGCCAAAATCATAAATGGCGCCCTAAACTTGCCTGCATTTTCCACTTTGACACTGGAACGTAATCTTGTTCCTAATGATAGCAGGGTTGGTATCCTATTCCTTCTCGTTCGATCTCTTCGAAGTTGATTCGACCCTGTGTATGATTTCCTGGGATGGCTCGGGTTCGACCCTGCTAGGTGTGTGGTTCTGATTTTGGAGCTGGGCTATCGCCTCTTGTTGAGCCTGCAACATTTGAAATATCACCCGCAGGCTGATCCCGCCATCTTCACCACCACGTGTGCTCGGAGTAGCTGATCGGGCATCCCCGCAGATGCTGCTTTCGGGATCGACGGCCGAATTTTCACATGTGAACTGACATCGATTGGATCTACAACCGGAATTCCATCGAGGCCAGCAGGGGGCACAACGTTTCCTGGTGCAATGTTCTCATTTTCGCCGTGGTGGCCGAGATCATTGTCAATGTGTTGAGGTGCTGACTGAGAGTCTGACATTTTTTATTCCAGTAATCAAAGGTAGTTCAAAGAACAAGTGTAAAATGTGTGTTACGAAAGTTTGTACCAGATAACCACTATTATCTTTAGCCCTACGGTGGACCCCAAACTGTTTACCATAAAAAGGGATAGCAATTGAATTTATACGCGATTTTAAGGATACGTGATATAACTCGGCACAAAATAAGAACATACGTAAATTGATATTGAAATTGACTGCAAATAGAAATAAAAGCAAACCTAAGGAAATATATGGCTTTGGCCCTCAAGCTAGATTGCCCTCGAACCAAACGAATATTGCACTGGATAATATGAACAAAGTAACAGAGTATTGAGAGCTTAAGAAAAAGGTAGTATATTGCTTTGTATTGCATAAAATGTAATGGTTTTTACAAATGATCAGACCCCCTTCATATAGTACGGGAGTCCTACTCTTGATACAATTCTAAATATAGTAAAAAATTACATGATTGGCTAATTAACCGGCCTCTTCTTAATACATGCAGGGATTCGCGCCGTGATCCTCGCCCGATTGCGGATATTTTGTCTTTCCGTTATTCGACTCAATAAGCTTCCCTCGATCTCCATCTTATTCGGTCTCGATCTTTGTCGATCTCGATTTTGGTCGGTCTCAATCTTAATCGGTCTCTGGGTCTCAAACTCGGCAACCTAACTTTGCACCATAGTTTGATATAATACGAGGCTGATTCTTGGCTTATCGTGCTCCAGTTTTGATCAGTCGCACAGAAAGGGCAAGCCCGAATTTGACCGTATACATATTTTTTTTCGAGTAGAAAAGAGTGAAAGTAGCATAAATACATCCCATGTCAAGACACCAATTGCATTTTTATAATTGTCGTGAACCAGACAGTTTGGGTGCTTTGCGTGTGCAATCTGACATTATAAGTTGGGATATGGGAACGACAACTGATTTTCAGTAGTGATGCCACCACTTCGTTTGTACTTTTTATTCCCTCAAATCGCCATCTAGATCTCCTTCTACCTTAAGATTCCTTCTGATCATCCTCTCTGTTTGTCTCTCCTTCAATCTCTTCATCTGCAATACACATAGATGACTTCTGTGAGTTTCTCTCTCTTCCAATTCTTTTCAGTTTGCAAATGGTCGCATCTAATTGTTTGGTTCTTGCATGAATTCATCTTTATTTTGTAGAGAACATAGGACAAAAATATCTGTATTGTAAGGGTTCATCATGAATTAACGAATTCTCGACCCTAATTCTCCTTTTCGATGTGTTCCTAACTTGCATAATTGTTTGGAAAATGCTGAATGTAAGATGGACGCAATTAATCTTGTTTACACTTATATTTAACTATCAGCTTTTCTTTTTTTTTCTCACTCTCAATTTGTAAGTATTCCCTTCCTTGAAATTTGGATGCAAGGTTTTGGTAGTGGATGTATTTTTACTTTGCATCCACAACCTTGCAGTCTTCTACTCGAGTTATATTATATATTAGAATACCTTTAAGAAATTTGCAACTAATGGTCATGAATGAAAAGTTAATGTAGTTGTATGAAATCTTGTTTCCTTATACCGAATTCACAGCAAGAGAAAGGTCGGCCATTGCCCAAATTTGGTGAATGGGATGTGAATGATCCAGCCTCAGCAGACGGGTACACAGTTATATTTGCCAAGGCAAGAGATGAGAAGAAAGCCACTGGGACTTCGGCCAGTTCTGTACCAGCAGCATCACCCAGAGCTGAAGCTGAGTCTAGACAAAATGACTCATGTCAGCAAGATCCAACGGTATTTATTTGATGCCAACTAAATCTTTTCTTTGTGTTAATTTGGCATATAGTCATTCAACTTCCTATTTACTGTACTAATTTGGCACCACAAAATTACAAAAAAATATTTTCTGACCCAATTAAAAAAAAGACTCATGATCTGCCACCTAGTGAAGGACATCAAGTTTTAAGTTAAAAAATAATTTTCTTGGGAATTTGAAGTGGTCCTACGTGGATATTATGTAAGCTCAGATGATGACGTGATTATACTAATTACATGAGAATATATGCATGTTTTTTGGTTTAAAGAAATAATTTTATAATTTTGGTGTGATAAACTTAAAGTTGAATGATAATGCATGGAGTCGTAGCTTCCCCTTTTGCTTCAAGCATTCAGATTTAATACTCTACTTGAATAGTTGATGATCATATTCTTCACTGTACTTTATGCAGAAAAAGTGGTTTTGCTGTTTCTGAAACCTGGATATTTCTGTAGCTGCCAATTGTGAAACAAAAGACAAATCTTCAATTGCAGTTCAAGGCTGCCAGTCTAGTTATAGAAGTGGAGGAATGCATGTTGCTTCTTATTTTCTGATCATTTTCTGTAGTGGTATGTGTAGCATAAAGCTTCTTCATATCTCTTCCTACATGTTTACCCTAAAAATTGGATAACAATTAAACATATAATGTGGTTTTAAGGATACGTGATTTGACAATAATATAAAGCAAATCAGTGTTTGAACAGAATTCAGCCCTCGGGCTTGAATACCCTCGAGCTAGTTGTTCAAGAACAGTTAAAATGTAACAAGCTCATTAACAAGAGAATGTAAGTTAAAGAGAGAATATTGTATTGCTTTGATCTCCATGAATGTGTAGTCCTTACAAGATGGCTAGGGCCCTCTTTATATAGTAGAGGAATCCTACTTAGGGTATAATTCTAATTACGAAAGTAAATCCCATGATGGGCTAAATAACTGGTCCTGACTTGATACGTGCTGAGATTTCCACCACGATCCTTGACTATCACGGATATCTCGACTTTCTGTTATTCGACCCGGGAGGCTTCCTTCGATCTCGTTCGATCTCTTTCCTGTTTCGCACTCGATCTTGATCGGCCATTGATCCACGAGCTTACCAATCCAAATATGTCCATGGTTCGATATAACCGAGCCCGAGCCTTCATCTACCACCCCGATTTCGGTTAGCCATACAAAATTAGACAAGCTCGATTTTGACCGTATACAGATAGTCCCCTCATTTTTTGGAGTGTAACGACAAGAAACGAATTGAGTCTTTGAGTTTCTTTGCTTGTTCTTCCCGAAATATCAAATATTCCAATCTCTATTCTTCCTTGCTTGTGAAAACAGAATGGCCAAAACATCTAAAACTGTTCCGCAAAAGGAAACCGCTCAGGTTCGGGTTAAGGGGCGCACCAAGTGTCGATCTCAGAGGGAGACCTTTGAAGAAATCCATGGTTGGGGCTTTGTTTTTTTCGCCCGAGTTCGATGGACCCCTAATGACCATTTGAGCTAGAGTTTGAGTAGCTCTTAGGATTAACAATCGAGTGATGATTTGCTCGAACTTGAAGTGAAGTTAGCCCTTAGGCTTTATAGTCGAGTGAGGATTTGCTCGAACTCGAAGTAAAGTTAACCCTTAGGCTTTATAGTCGAGTGAGGATTTGCTCAAACTCGAAGTAAAGTTAGTCTTTAGGCTTTATAGTCGAGTGAGGATTTGCTCGAACTCGAAGTAGAGTTAGCCTTTAGGCTTTATGTATAGTCCCCGAGTGAGAGTTTGCTCGAACTCGATTTGAGATAGCCCTTGGGCTTTTATGATCGAGTGAGGGCTTGCTCGAACTCGAAGTGATGTTAGCCCTTAGGATTTATAGTCGAGTGAGGGTTTGCTCGAACTTGAAGTAGAATTAGCCCGTAGGCTTTATAGATTGTCACCGAGTGAGAGTTTGCTCGAACTCGGGTTAAGATAGCCCTTAGGCTTTTATGATCGAGTGAGGGCTTGCTTGAACTCGAAGTGAAGTTAGCCCTTAGGATTTATATTCGAGTGAGCATTTGCTCAAACTAAAAGTAATGTTAGCCCTTAGGCTTTATACATAGTCCCCGGGTGAGAGTTTGCTCGAACTCGGGTTAAGATAACCCTTGGCCTTTTATGATCGAGTGAGGGCTTGCTCGAACTCGAAGTAGAAGTAGCCCTTAGGCCTTTGTATTTATTACGGATTTTGGAAGTCTCCGATCCACGATAATTTGGTCGTAGCCTCTTTAGTTCGGAACTTACCCTTTGGGCTTATTTTCGCTTCACTTCAAGCTTGCCCAAGTGTCAGTCCCCGAGTGGGGTGGCCGTGGCTTGTAAAATCGAGGGTCGCCTTTAAGGTCTTATTGTCTCGAAATTTTAGTAGTTCAATTTCATTTGTTTTTCGGATAGCAGTCCTCAAGCGTGGGGTTAGTTGTTTGAACTTCTGTCATGATCAGCCCTTAAGTCTATTTACACAATAGATCAAGAGTATGAAATAGGAAATTTTTCTAAAGGCATGAGATATCGGCAAAGAAAAATACTTCTCTCAATAGATGATTATACATGTGCGCATGTTTGATGTTAGGGCTCGAGTAACCTATATGGGCACGGTTCATCTGACCGTTTGACCCTTACAACATTTTCCTATCGAGACCCCGCTGTCATGAAGTAATTTCATTGCAACAAAGTAGACATTCGAGGGTAATGCCCCCAGTACTCGAGGCTTATTATAGGGAACCTCGGATACTGCTGAATTACTCTAAGTTATCACGAACAATGGTTTCCTCATTAAAAACCTTGCCGAAAAAACCCACCTGGGACAAAAACCGATCTAAGGGAAAAAGTGTGCAATACGTGCGTTAAGATCCAAAGCTTCGTGTCGATATTTGTCGATAGCCTGCAAGTGTTAGTCAAAAAAATAGAAATAATTGGAATCGGGTCGTACCTTTATTCGGATTTTTGGTATTTAACGTGATCTTCCTCAGCATCAAACCCCCGTGAATTTTGACGTCGATCATTTCTCCTCTAATTTCATGCGAAGCTTCGCCCAGACTCGCTGCCTCTACGGTCTCCGTCGTACGGCTGATATCGATCTCTATTCGACCTCGGCTCTCGATTGATGTCCCTTTTGATCCTATCCATGGGCTTGCTAGGATAAACGGACCCCGAAGGAGTCCCCAGTTGATCGTCCTCGACCCTAATCTTCGACAGATATCAAATATGTACGTCGGCCCAAGTGACAGCCGGATCCTCGATTAAACTTTGCTTCAACTGCTGTGAAGCTATGGAACTCCGAGTGTTGAGACCTTGGGTGAAAGCTTGAACAGCCCAGTCATTGGTGACCGGAGGAAAATCCATTCTCTCCGCTTGGAACCGAGATACAAACTCCGTGAGCATCTCGTTATTTTTCTACCTTACCTTGAAAAGGTCTGACTTCCTCGTTGCAATTTTAATGGCTCCGGCGTGTGCCTTTAAAAAAGAATCTGCAAGTATATCAAACCAATCAATAGAATTAAGGGGTAAGTTATGTTACCATATTAAGGCACCCGTTGATAGAGTCTCCCCAAACATTTTCAACAGTACGGATTTAATTTCATCATCTTCCAAGCATTTCCTTTGATGGCGCACGTATACGAGGTGACGTATTCATTCGGATCGGTCATCCCATTATACTTGGGGATTTCTGGCATACGGAATTTCTTAGTAATGGTCTTCGGAGCCGCACTTGGAGGGAAAGGCTTCTGCACGAACTTCTTCGAATCCAAACCCTTTAAAATCGAGGGTGCCCTCGGTATTTGGTCAACCCGTGAGTTGTACGTTTCTACCTTTTTGTCATTAGCCTCGATTTTATTTTCACCTAATTCTATCCGCTTAGTGAGCTCCTCAAGCATATTCATAATGGCGGGAGAAGTCCCCGATTCACTAGCGTTCGATTTTGCCAGTACAGGTTCGATTCTGTGAATAACTTCTCGTGATGTTTCGAGCTCAATTTTGCTTGGTGCTCAATTCTGGTTTTGGAGTCGCGCTATCGCAGCTTGTTGAGTCTGCAACATTTCGAATACCATTCGAAGGCTAATTTCTGCCTTCTCCACCGCTCTGCGCATTCTAATCAACTGCTCGGGTATCTCTGTGGACACTATTTCTAGGGTCGACGCCTAGATTTGCAGTTAGGGCAACGTGCGAACTGACATCGGCGAGTTCTCCGATCGGTACTCCTTCGTGGCAAGCCTGAGGCACTTTGATCCTTGGGGCGGCTACATTATCGTTTTCTCCATGGAAATTGAGGCCGTCATCGGCGTGAGTGCGTACTGCTTGCGAGTTAGACATGTTGATCCTGAAATCAAAAACACTCACTAGAACAAGCGTAAAGTAGTATGTGTTATGAGCATTAATACCAGGCGATCACTATTATCCTTGGCCCCACGGTGGGCGCCAAACTGTTTACCCTAAAAATTGAATAACAATTAAACGTATAATGTGATTTTAAAAATACGTGATTTCACCTTATACCAATTGATTAACGTAAAGATAAGTGATGGAAATTCACAAAATGTAAAGCAAACCAGTGTTTGAACAGAATTCAGCCCTCGAGCTTGAATACCCTCGAGCTAGTTGTTCAAGAAGAGTCAAAATGTAACAAGCTGATGAACAAGAGAATCTAAGAAAAAGAGAGAATATTGTATTGATTTGATCTGCGTGAATGTGTAGTCCTTACAAGATGGCTAGGGCCCTTTTTATAAAGTAGAGGAATCCTATTTAGGGTATAATTCTAATTACGGAAGTAAATCTCATGATGGGTTAAATAACCGGTCCTGACTTGATACTTGCCGAGATTTTCGCCACGATCCTTGCCCGATCACGGATATCTCGACTTGCTGTTATTCGACCCGAGAGGCTTCCTTCGATCTCATTCGATCTCTTTCCTGTTTCGGTCTCGGTCTTAATCGGCCGTTGATCCACGAGCTTACCAATCCAAATTTTTGCCATGGTTCGATATAACCTAGGCCGAGCCTTTATCTACCACCCCGATTTCGGTTAGCCATACAAAATTAGGCAAGCCCGATTTTGACCGTATACAATTCTAGGGAGAGACGTCATATCTCAGAAACACACTTTCTTGTGCTTTAACAACTATATTAATGGCTTCCCTGTTGCATATAGATTAAGTAGGCTTTTGGACATGAATTCCAAACAACAAAAAAATTGAAATTTGAAATTTTACTAAAATTTGAATTGAAGATGAAATTCTGTTTGATTATAATTTTTACAAATAATTTGGATGTCTTTTTATTATTATACCCCGCAGTTTATAAAAAAAAATATCAAAATCGCCACAATTTGATTATCCTACTTGAAACAAACAATCAAACATGCTATTGTTTCCTTGTTATCATATTCTGCTTTACTGCAACAAATAAAAGATGCAAAATCAACATCACATGTTCTAATTCTACTGGCGCATAGAGAAGGTACAAAAGCAGGCATAGCCACATATTATTCTTAACCATATAATCAAGCTTCCAGTGTGCAGAGTTTAAGAATCAACTAGGACTAGTCGGAAAGGAAGCCGCACACTTTGGTGAGAAGAAGACCTTCTGCTTGCAATTTTTGTTTCTGATTTTATGGAAGGGAAAATGGGTAGTTAATGATTACCTAGGTTAATAATTGATGGGGTCTTTTTATAAATTTTAAAAATATAGGATAAATTTGTAAAACTTAAAAAT